CTGAGAAATGCAGATAAGCAGTTTTAGAGGCCTTTGAAGTATTTACAAATGTTTATTTATTTTCATTTACTTGAAAGGCAGAGAGTGAGAGAGATACCGATCTTTCATTTGTTGATTTACTCCTCAAATGCCAAGAACAACCAGAGCCTGGCCAGGTTGAAACCACAAGTATGAGTACTCCATGTGGGTTTCCCATGGGGATGGCTGGGGCCCAAGAACTTGACCTATCATCTGCTGCCTTACAGCAAGCTGTGTATAGAGCTGGGTAGCAGAACCTTGAACTGGTGGTAAGATATAAGATGTGTGTCCCAAGTAGCAGGTTAACTCACTGTACCACAACAGAAGTTGCATGCATTTCAGACTTGTCCAAAGGTTATGAGACCTGTTGTCTAGAAATTGTCATTCTGGACTCAGTGATATTATTACAATCAACTTATCCTTGTAGAAAGGACAAAAAAAATGAAAGAATATATCATCAGAGGTTTCTTTTGTGATGCTGGCATTGTATGAGTCCAGTTTAAATCCATTTCCATTTCATTCAGGTTCATGGCTTCCTAAACCCTAGTGCATTATGTCAGGATGTAGTACCTCCTGGTGAGACCCCTGGGGGAGCCAGGACTGGGGTAAGGTGCAGCCAACTTTGGGGATGGCTTAGGAGCTGAAGCTATCCCCAGCCCTTCCTGCCTGTAGTAATCTGTGTAGGGAGAGGCTGAGGATTGAGGGCAGGGTCGTCCCTCTTCAGGGGCACTTCTGCGGGGTGCGGTTCAGAGCCGGTGCTGGTCTGCTGTCCATCCTGAGGGTAGATCCCAGGGTTGGCTGTCCTGTAGAGACAAGGATCGAACCCAGCTCCTGGACACTCCTTCCTTCAGGTCCTCTGATCCCCCCGGGCTGGCAAAGGCCCTACACTGTTACCCTCAGGTAGCTGTAGAAATTGCCTGGTGATGGAGCATTTGTTCAGAGCTGTGATTATAACCACCAAGAGAAAAGAAAGTCCATCAGCTTCCAACTGCTTTCTTTTCTCCTCAAGAGATTTATTTATTTAACCAGAAAAGTCAATTTACAGAGAGAAGGAGAGACAAAGATCCTCCATTTATTAGCTTATTGCTCTAACAACTGCAATGTTTGAGCTGATCTGAAGCCAGGAACCAGGAGCCTCTTCTGAGACTCTCATGCTGGTGCAGTAACCCAAGGACTTGGAGCATCCTCTGCTGCCCTCCCAGGCCATAAGCTACTGTCTCCATCAGACCCAGGGCTGACTATGTAGGGCTGTATAGGGCTGTGTAGGGCTTTCTGTATCAGACCAGGCAGTGGAGAGCTAGTGGGGAGGGGAACTCTTGGCTTGTGAATGGCTTGTTGCTCTGTTCATCAGCCCAGTGTGTCAGTGCTGGAGACCTGAATGTGAGAGCTGATGCCTTAATGAGACTGGCTAATTGCTACCCTGCCCACTGGATCTGGAGGATTAGCCATCGTGTGGAGTTCTGGATCCAATTATCTTCCTGTTTTCACTGCTGCTTGAATGGTCTTAGGCAGCCAGGACAACTTTTTTGCCATGGCTGATGAGATAGGATTTCTCCAGGAGGCACATCACTGCCTTTGGTCATCTTTCCAGTTCATTTTGGTTAGTTCTTTCAGCCTGTTTTGCAAAAGCCAGTCATCAGTGCGGCAGGCTCATCTCACGGGGACCCATGTCAGGAGACTCACAGCACATCTGTGTTTGAAGATTCTCAGATTCCATGCTGTAGACAGCTGGAGGAACTGTCCATGTCCAGTAATTCTAGAAGAAGTGTTGTGTGATTCATCCTGCCTTTTCATGAAAATATTGACTTGTAGCTGCTCTGCCTGCTCCGAGAGCATGCTGGGTCCTTGCCTCTTCCCTTGGCCTCTGTTTGGTGTTGCTGTCCCACTGTGGTGGATGAGCTGATGAGCTCTGAGGTGGAACGCTGTACATAATGTATCACAGTGATGTTCCTGAGTGCGAAGGAGGAGAAAGCCTCGTTTATTTCTGGTCTCTGCGGACAGAGCCCCAGGCCAAGAAGAGGCCATTCCAGTATTTCCACTCTGCGTTTTCCCCTCTACCATCTGTAATAGATTTGAGATGTGCCAATAACTTTAAAGGGAAAAGCAATGTCTGACCACAGTGCATGTGCAAACACACACACACACACACACACACTCACACACACACACACACACACACACGTTGTGAATGCGTTGCATCCCATGCCCCCTCCTCGTACAACTGCTTCCAGTGATGTCACTGTGTGAACTGTAGCCAAGAGCTCTCTTGTTCCCTGAAGATCCCATGATTGTAATATTGGGTTGGTAGAGTTATTGGTTTTTTGTGTTTCCAGATGTGGACACACAAGGCACAGGTTGGTTGTCTATTTGGTAGCAGCCCCCGGGCAGGAGCCACAGCTCTTCCTAGAATGCCTTGTCCAGTGTGTTTTTGGGGGTGTGGGTGATGAGGTGGGGTGGGGGAGCAGCCTTGGCAATACTTCTCTCTAAGCTGGAAGGGAGGGGCTGATGTCCCACACCAGTCATCACCATAACAGACAGCAGCAGCTCATGCTCAGCAACTCCAAGTTCCTACTTTGTGCCCATTGCATGGGAAAAGAGCTTGAAGTGGACGGTCTTCCTCACAGCACCCCTCATGGGGTTCCCGTTGTTCAGGGAAGTCAATTGAAGCCGAGTCATGGCTTGAGGTTGCTTACGCACCAGGTGAGTCATGTGTAGCTAAAGGAGTGCTAGCCCAGCTGGTCTGCTTCCTGGGCCCACTGCACGCGGGTGGTTCTCACCTTGACTGCACCGTAGAATTATCTGAGCAACTTTGGAAAATCCTGCTCTGGGAACTTTTGCTCAGACCAGTCTAAGGGGCATTAACTCCCCACTGGAGACTGGTGCAGTCTGGGCCTGCTTCTTGCTGCTGTGTGTTTCCTTGCCCGGGCTCTATGCTATCTCTCCAGAACTGTTCCCATTCAGCATTGGTCCCTGCTAGTGTGCTTAGGGTTGGCTCAAAGGCACTGCGTCTCAGTGCTTGCTTCCCCCAGGAACGACGCGTTTGGGGGTCGGTTTCTCTTGGCTGGGGGTAGGTTGGGGACAGGTGTCTGGATAGTGAAGAACCCATTTTATGGCTACTTTTTCTTCCCTTCCTACCCGCGCCCCAGCCCCCACCATATTTTCTCCCATTCTGAGCTGTTTCTCCTCCTTCTCGTGACCCACGTGGATAGGGCTGTTTAGTCACCATCTTTATCTAAATCACTGGTTCTTAGTGTACAGTTTGAGTTCTCCATGACTCCCCAGGACTGCTTGGGCGGGTCCCTAAAAGTGGATATCAGACCACCTGACATTAGGCTTTCATCCCAAACTTCAACTAGTACAACGTGTCCCACGGGACTCGATGCAGCAGCAGACACGCAGATTCAGCCGGCTTTGACTAAGCTGGATAGCGAAGTACTGTGTAGGTATTTAATGTTGATCTTAAAATTTGGAATAAGAACAGTCTGTAAAAGCCTGGAACAAGACCATTCTTCTTGCTGATTATTCTTTTTTGTTCTGAAAACTGATTTTTTTCCCCATAAAATTATGCAATCTACATTAACATGTAATGGAATTGTTACTTTTAAATCACAAACATCTTAAAAATTCTCAGTTTTAACTACTAGTCTGATGTACCCTACATTACCAAAAGCACAATTTTTAAGTGTAAAGGACAAAAAAGTGAGAGAACTACTGATCTAAACCAAGCTCAGCAGCTCAGAGGAAAAATGACAGTGGATTGGAGGCTCTACATAGTTATAATGACCTATTACTAGTAGAAGTTTTAAAAATTCACTGGTTTATGCCTCTAGAGCCCAGGAGCCAGAAACTCAATCCAGGTTTCTTACATAGGTGCCAGGAACGTCAGCAACTTGAGCCACACTTGCTACCTGGTAGGGCACACGCTGAAGGAGCTGTGACTTGAATCCAGGCATTCTGATTCGGGATGCAGGTCTGCTAATCACGGCCCCAAACACCCTACCCTGTAACTACCCATCATTTGAATAGAGTTTTAGATCATCTCTGCATGAGGGTCTTTTTGTGTTTAGAGATCTACCAAGTGGGTGATCAGATCTCAAATAGAATAAAGTTCTAAGGTCAATCATCCTTGAAGGCAATTGGGAATAGGGAACAAGTTGTGCCTCTAGTTAACTACTGAGATAAAAAGAGAGCCTTTCCGGGCCCGGCGCGGTGGCGCAGTGGTTAAGGTCCTCGCCTAGCACGCCCGGGATCCCATATGGGCACCGGTTCTATCCCAGCAGCCCCGCTTCCCTTCCAGCTCCCTGCCTGTGGCCTGGGAAAGCAGTCGAGGATGGCCCAAAGCTTTGGGATCCTGCACCCGTGTGGGAGACCCGGAAGAGGCTCCTGGCTTCGGATAGGCATAGCATCGGCCATTGCGCTCACTTGGGGAGTGAATCATCGGATGGAAGATCTTCTCTGTCTCTCCTCTCTGTATATCTGCCTTTCCAATAAATAAATAATAAAAAAAAATTAAAAAAAAGAGAGCCTTTCTTAGGCAGCTTTTGCATTTAAGCTCTGGTGGGCTGCTGAAAAGGAGCTGAGCAGGGCGTATGCCAAGGGCTGGGGACAGCTGCTTGCCACCTTGCCTGCCCTACTCTGTGCCCACCAGCACAGCACTGGCCCTGATTGGTCCTGCAGACTGTGACCATTCCCCCTCTGCCACCCATCCCAGGACTGGCTCTGGATCCGCTTACTCAGAGCTCTTGGCTCTGCTGTCCTGGCCTTGGCTCTATCCTTGGCGCTCTGGCTTCTGTTTGTCCTGGAACCCAGGCTTTTCCTAGTGGGCTGTGACAGCCCGTGCTGGCTCTCAGCTCTGTGTGCTGCCTTTGGCAGGAACTTCTGTTCCAACTCCAGCTCCATGAGATTGGCCGCTGGCCACTTGGCCAGCAATCTGGCCACACCAGCCTTGACCCATGGGATAACCGTGAAGGATATAAGCAGAAATGACAGGATGGAGTGGCCTGTTTATAGAAGAGTCTCTGTGGGGATTGGCTTCCACACTGAGTTTTCATTTGCAATGGCCACAAGGATGACTTGAAAGGGTGTGCTGGGGGAGCCCCATCCAGGGACTCCAAGGCCACAGGGATCATGATGCTATTTATATGTTGACACTGCAAGCATGTTGCTTACTGAAAGCTTTTCATTTTAAGGCTCAGTTATTACTCTTGTAGTGAGATATTATGTGAAAAGCAATTATTGCTGGCTACTATTTTTAAAACCCCTTCTAAGTGCCAGGTGAGGCTATTAATTCATTTTACACTTGTTTTGTTACTACCTATGATCAGCCAGCCATTGTCCAAGGAATAGTGAATAAACAGGCAGAAAATAACTGTTTGTTTGGAGGTTACATTTTAATCTAGGAAGAGTCAGATAATAAACCAACAAACCAATACATTTATGGTGTGTCAGAGGGTTATAGACACTGAATAAAAATCAAGTAAGCCAAATCAGAGAGGAAAAGTAAAATTATCTCTGTTGGCACATGATGTACATGATCTTTTATGTTGAAAACCCTCATGATTCCACAAAAAAAATGTTGGAACTGATAAGTAAATTTAATAAAGTTGAACAGTAAAAACCAACATGCAGAAATGAATTATAGTTCTATATATTAGCTCTATATATAACAAACAATGCAAAAAGGAAATTGAGAAATTATTTTGCCTATAGTAGCTAATAAAAAGACCAAAATACTGAGGAGTAAATCAAAGAAGTCAAAAACGTACACACTGAAAACTTTAAAATGTTTTTAGGAGAATTAAAAGAGACACAAATAAGTGGAAAGGCATCCGGGATTCATAGATTGGAATATTTAATATTATTGTTATGATATCAGTGCTACCCAAAGGAATCCTCAAATTCAGTGTAATCCCTACCAAAATCCCAGTGTTGAATTTTGCAGATAGAAAAATCCATCCTGAAAGTCATGTGTCATCTCAAAGGACTCTGAATAACCCACACAATCATGAAAAGGAAAAGCAAAGTTGCGATTTCACATTTCCTGACTTCAAAACTTATTACAGAGTTACAGTAATCAATACAGTATGGTTCTGACCATAGGCAGACATACTGAACACTGCAAAAGAACAGAGAACTTACAAATAAAGCCTCACATGTGCAGTCAATGATTTCCAACAAGGATGCTGAGACCACTCAGCGGGGAGAGGCTAGCGTTGTGATGCAGTGGATTAACTACTTCCTGCAATGGTGGCATCCACGTTGCTGTTCTTCCAATCCAGCTTCCTGTGAGTGGACCTGGGATAGCAGTGGAAAATGGCCCAAGTGCTTGGACCCCTGCCTTGCGTGTGGGAGACCTGATGGAGTGCCAGGCTCTTGGCTTTGCACTGGTCCAGCCCCAGCCTTTGTGGCCATTGGGTTAGTGAACTGGTGAATGGAAGATCTGTTTTTCCTCCTGCCTTTCAAATAAAAAAAGGGTTTATTCTACTTTTATTTGAAGGGTAGAGTTATACACAGAGAAGGAGAGGTATATATACCCGCCCCCCCCCCCCACTACACATTCATTTGGTGTACTTCCCCAGTGGTCACAGTAACTGGAGCCAAGCAGATCTGAAGCTGGGAGCCTGGAGCTTCTTTGGGGTCTTCCATGTGAGTGCAGGGTTCAAGTAATTGTGCTGTATTCTGCTGCTTTCCCAGGCCATAAGCAGACAACTGGGTTGGAAGTGGGGCAGTTGGGACATGAACCTACTCCTATATGGTATGTTTTTTTTTAAAAAGATTTATTTATTTTTTATTAGAAAGGCAGAGACACATATACAGAGAGAAAGAGAGAAGGAAATACAGAGAGAAAGATCTTCCATCTGCTGGTTCACTCCCCAAGTGGCTGCAACAGCCAGAGCTAAGCCAATCCAAAGCCAAGAGCTAGGAGCTTCTTCCAGGTCTGCCATGTGGGTGCAAGGTCCCAAGGCCTTTGAGCCATCTTCTACTGCTTTCCTAGGCTACAAGCCGATGGGAAATGGAGCAGCTGGGACACGAACCGATGCCCATATGAGATCCTGGCAGTTGCAAGGTGAGGATTTAGCCACTAGGCTACTGTTGGACCCAAACTCAACTTTCTGTATGATCCAACAATTTGACTTCTTCACAAGTGTCCCAAAGATGTGAAAGCAAGGGTTCAAAACATTGTTGGTAAGCCCGAATTACTTGCAGCAGTTCTCAATAGGCAGAAAACATTAAGTGATGGATGAATGGACAAATAAAATGTGGTTTGATTTTAATTTATATTTTCAACTTTGAAAGGGAGAGACAGAGAGAAAAAAGAAGGAGATACAGAATGAGAATCATCCGAAGGCCTGTTACAGGGTTAGTCCGGGTGGAAGGCAGGGGCCTGAAGTCAGCCAGGTCCTCCTTGTGGGTGGTAGGGCTCCAAGCAAGTGAACCATTACTGCTGCCTGCCGAGGTCCGTGTTGCAGCAGGCTGGATCAGCGCTGTAGCTGTTGAACTGGAAACCTGAAACTCCAGTGTGGAACACAGGCACCTCAAGCAGTGACTACTTCTGAGGCAAACACCTGCCACCAAATGTACTTTATACCTACGATAGAATCTTATTTAGTGGAGGGAAATTTTGAAACATACTGTGACATAATTGAGCTTGGAGGGTACCCAGGGGACTTACTCAGTGAGTACAGACGTTTCGTTTGGGAAGATGAGCACATTCTTGAGGTGGATGATCGTGATGGGTGTAGGAAATTGTGAATGTATGGGGAGTACAATGGAACTGGACACTTAAAAATGGCGGAATAACGAATTTGGTGCTGCATATATGGGGCTAAACTTAAAAAGTATTATCCATGGAGGGGTTCTTGGGGAAGTTGGGGGACAAGTGTATGGGGAGTACAATGGAACTGGACACTTAAAAATGGCGGAATAACGAATTTGGTGCTGCATATATGGGGCTAAACTTAAAAAGTATTATCCATGGAGGGGTTCTTGGGGAAATTGGGGGACAAGTGAGGGGCTTCCTGATAAGGTGAAGCTAGGTTGGGGTGCATATGGAGGATATGAGCACTGGGCTTGCTAATGGAGCAATAGGGTGATGTTTGCCATGGAAGCAGAATGAGTGAGGAGGGGACAGTAGTGACAGGCTAGGGAGGTGGTGGGCTACAGGACCATGAAAGCCCTGTAAGGAGTTTGGTTTCTCCAGAGTGGACACAATGGGAGGAATTTGGAAGGACTGAATGAGGCAGGACACGAGCTGGTATTTGACCAGGATCCTCTTGGCTGCTGAGCTTGAAGCTGTACCCCAAGAGGACTGCATGCAAGCAGGCAGGTGAATGGAGAGGGCTTCACAGTCACTCAGAGAGGCGATGCTGATGGATGCTGGGAAGGCTGCAGCCAAGGTGATGAGAAGCGGCTGAGTCACGTTCTGTGGAAGGGAAAGTAGCGGGATTCGCTGATGAATGAGAGGACCTGGAGAGAAGGAGGGGTGAAGAGTTTGTTCCGTGCTGTTGGGACTGAGCAGCCAGTGATGAGGTGACCATTGATTAGGCTGGGGAGATTGGCAGGACTTCATCTTGAGACATGATCACTGAATTATGTTGTTTAGGGGAAAGATGTGGATAGGCTGTCAGAATAGAGATGCATTTATTTATTTTATTAAATTTTTGCTTTACTGCAGAGGCAGAGATAGAAACACACACACACACACACACACACACACACACACACACACACACACACACACACACACAAATATGTATCATGGGAGGTGAAATCAAGAGCCAGAAACTCATTGTGGTCTCCCACAGGGTGCCAGGGATCTAGTCATTTGAGTGATCACAGTTTCCTCTCAGGGTCTACATTAGCAGGAAGCTGGATTCAGGAGCTGGAGCTGGGAGTTGAGAACTACACACAATGATGTGGAAGGCAAGCAGCATGACTGCTGTGCCAAACACCCTCTATGAGAGATGACTTCAGAGCGGTGAAGCTGGATGGGTCTTCAAGGCATAAATACTGACTGAGAAGAGGAGGCCCCAGGTCTGAGCCTGGGGATGATGGGAAGGGCCGGTGAGATAGGGCATAATAAGAAGCCTGCCAACCATTTTGCACACATTTCCCCATTGAATATTCAAGGTAAATTTACGAAACTAAATATGATTCCTGTTCTATGGTCATGGGATTCATGTAAGAAGAAGAGGTCAGGTGTTATTAAATGGCAAAAGGAGGACTTGGACTAGCTCACTCAGTTCTAGAGCCTGTGTGCAGTGAAGCTCTGCCCCACATGGTCTTTGTGTTGTGATGGGAGGAAGAACAGAGTTGTGGTAGAACTGAATCTCATAATTCAAGATGTACAGGAGACAGTCCTGATCTTTTTCAAGTGTCCATGATTTGGTGAGCTAGGGTGAGTGAGGACCAGCAACCCCAGGAAAGGTGGGGTTGATGCTGCAGAGAACTCCACAGTGGCCATGTGTATGGGTGGAGGGAGACTAGCCTGAAGGTTGTGCCTTGGGATGGGCCCTACTGAATTCAAGGGGAAGAGCAGTGTGCAATGGAGATAGCATTGGTGGTTCTTCTTTGTGCTACAGAGCAAAGTTGGACTCAGGCATGAGAAGTGAGCCCAACTATCAGAGTGTTCCCCCAGGGCCATGGAACAAGCAGGGAGGGTCATGCAGGTGAACAGGGCAGGGTAAGGATTCCTGTTGGCCAGCAGCAGCCACATGTGGCTGGGATGGTGACTGCTAGGCCTTAATGGGCCTCATTAGTGCTGTCTCCTCGATTCCTGGCACCTGTGCCAGCTTGGTTCCTCTCTTATTTTCCAAGTCCACTTCTCCACCTCCTACAGACACATGAGAGACTTGGAGGAATCAGGTATAAGTGCAGAATGTTTAAAGACACAGATGCTCTCTGGATGAGGTGGTGAAAAATTCCTCCTTCTTGAAAGAACATGCCTTCATTACAGTCAAATTAAAATATAGTCTCACATACACACATGCTGCCTTCATTACAGTCAAATTAAAATACAGTCTCACACACATACTGCCTTCATTACAGTCAAATTAAAATACAGTTTTACAAACACACACAC